ATTACAATATCGTTCAATATAAAGACATGCAATGAAATGAAATTTGATAGAAATTAAATAAAAATGAAATAATAATAAAAAATAGACTAGCAATAAACTGTTATGGAGAAGAACACATTTAAATATTATATATGTTACAATTTAAGTACTATTACAATATCGTTCAATAGTAATATTACAAAATTATACTGCTACATCATAATATCTCCAGAAAGTGAAATCGACGCGTACGAGGTGTTGTCAAATATTGTAACCTTTACGTGCGTGTGTATATATCCTTCAGAAACTATCCTGCGTATCTTTCCAGTTTACAAAGAGACAACGACCTGAAAGGACGTACTCGCGAAGAGAAGATCGTGCGCATTGAAACTACCGATGTTTGTGTAACTATTGATTTTTCCATTCTTCGTTCTGGCATTACACGTTTGTTTAACGTTTGTTCAACGTCTACTAACATTATTAGTATCGATTTTGCCGATTCGAGAAGTAGTCTAGCAGAAACATATCTCGGTGATAGAAAAAAGAACTAGCAAATTAGCAAGTTGGATTAATATCCAAGAGCTTTGTCAATTCGACTTTGTATTTCCAGGTAAACATTTACGTGGATGAAGTTTAAAATTAAAAATTACAGAAATTGCATGGATATCCTCGGTCTATTTATTACTTTGACAGCCAAGATCCTGCTGTGCACGATCTTAATTTGACTGCTTTGTTAAAGGTGGAATTTCGGCGAAAGAATGTCCATTGCATTTGTTAACGTTGAAATTTCTCTACGCCGCGTAATTAACGGTTTATTGCCGAGATTATTAGCTCGAGAAAAGGGAGCTTACATTCCCTGTCGTGTATTTCCCTTGTTTCTTTTCGCGATCTTCAATCCGTTCCACTTGTTTTCGAAGGAATCCTTGGGGAATTTCTTGCTCAATATTTCCGAGTAATTTAAATAATTAAGCAATTGCGTGTAATTCCAAATATTTCGAATAGAAAAATAATCGGTTTCAGACGATCTTGATCAACTTGTACCATGAAATATTAACGATTACGTTTATATTTGAACGGACACGATCTCACACATTTCGAACTTACGAATATATTTTCCAACTGAAAAATTCTAACATTGTAATTACGCGAATTCGTGGTATTTTTTTTTTTTTTCCTCCCCGCAGAAGACAACAAATAGTTTCCAAGTTGTCGAAAGGTATCTCCTACCTCTCAAAATTGCCAAATTTTAACGCGCGGAAACTTCCGTAAATCCCGGCGGGAACGTCGAGGGTGTCAGATTCATCACTGGTCAAGTTGCTCTGCAACACAAACCCCTTCCACGCGTCCCGCCAACCCCCACGAGTTCGACTCAGTGGTATTACCGGCTTACACGTTCGCCTGGTTCTTGTTTATCTTGCAGGTGTCCTGGATGCGTAAGAGGGACATGCATATACTGAGCGCCGGTATCCTGATGTACACCTCGGATCTGAGGTTCCAAGTGATCCATCCGGACAAGTCTGAGAACTGGACGCTGCAGATCAAGTCGCCCCAAGAACGGGACTCCGGGGTTTACGAGTGCCAGGTCAGCACCGAGCCGAAGATGTCGTTGAACTACAGCCTCAACGTGGTCGGTGAGTGGAGTTCTGAATAATTCAGCTTGCACCGGTATATATACACGCTTGGCATTCTCGTTCTTTCTTCTTCGTTTCTCGTTTTTTTTTTTCTTTTTTTCTTTTTCGTCATATTTCCAACGAAATCCCGCCGACTCGATCGACCCCGCGGGTCGCGTCAAGTAATCGCGGATTACCACGGGCTTGGGCGTTTTGAATTTTTAACCGGATCAATTTGTAGATTGTTACCGACGTTTATTCACCCGCGACAATTTCCCGGTAAAAGCTTTTCCCGTTGCGGTATCGTGAAATCCGTGTACGTGTGTGTGTGTGTGTGTTCTTTTTTTTTTTTTTTTGTTTATTCTTCATGCTCCCGGTGAAACGTCAGAAGGATGGAGGAGCCTCGATGATTAAATATCTCGAAGATATTTATTGTCGTTGATGTTGTTTCATAAATGAAATATTTACGGTGTCGAGTATTTATCACTAATAATAACGCGGACGTTTGCTCGGTTTGATGAAATTTGAAAACTCGTCAATTTAATACTTGAGATTTGAAATAAGTCGTAATATCTAGATGTGACAATCCAAAAATCTATAAAAGATCGGCGACGTTTCGTTTGCAATTCTCATCGATCGAATTTTTACGAGACATTCAATCGAAAGATATCTCCAAGAGTTCGTTTAAATATATTTCCTTATCTCTCACCTAGATCTCGTAGTTTCACGAAATTTCCAAGACACGATAAAAAATTCTTTTCGCTCGGTTCTTAATCAGTTAGGTTGCAGGTTCTTCAGCTTGTTGAATTTGTAAATATCCGCGGTCAATATAGCTTTCTTCGAACTATGGTTGTTGCGTGAAACAAGAAAGAACAAGTTATCTTCACTGTCGAGGGACGGATTTAAAGCACGCTATGAACAAGCCAACTTGGTCCCATGTATTTCGGAAGGTTTTCATATTGGCATAACTGCCTCGGCGGGAACTTAATCTTTGTAGTTCGATAAGTTGACAGCCGTGATTCTCCCGAACTTTACTCCCGCGCCCAGTTTCCCACGAAACTAAAAGCCGCCACTCGCAACAAAATTGCGTCAGTTTTTCGGCGAATTTCTTCTTTGCAATTTTTTTTTACGCTTCTACAATTGTAATTATTTTAATAATAATTAAAATTTTAATAATAATGTATACCTTATTTACGAGAGTTATAATTCATACCACAATTACAAGAGTTACAATTATAGAATTCGACTGTGCTCATTTTAACGAAAACATCTGCGTAATGTGAACGAAGCATGATGGATCTACTTCTCAACTTTTCTGCGATAAATAGTCGAGGGCATAAATTAAAATATAATCCATATGTCAAGCATTTAACGAAGCACAGTCAAACTCGGATATTCTCGGGGACGGAGCGCTATGCAAAAAAATTTTGTACTACATTTTCAGTTTATACTTTTTATAATTAGTTTCTTGTTCATTATTCTCTCCTGTCGTGTTTGAAATCAGTTAAGTTCAAGTATACTTTGACAAATCTTCAAACTCGATTTTTTCGAGAACGAAGCGCTTTGCAAAAAAAATTTTATTCTACATTTTTAGTTTATTCTTTTTATAATTAATTTCTTGTTAATTATCCTTTCCTGGAATTAATTAAATTCAAGTATAAAATTCTCAAACTTGATTCTCTCGAGAAGCACCCAGAAAAATTTTATTCTACATTTTTTACGTAGCGCAACCATCTGTCAATTGCTCTTTTTTTGTCCTAATTCTCGTTAAGATTTAGCCATACTCAAGTACAGAGTTTCCTCGAAACAGGAGAGCCTCGAGTCAACAAATTTTATTCCACACTTTCGACATATTATTATTTTTTTTTCGCGAGAAAGCAGATCTCGTCTCGCTTCATTCCTGTCTGATTCTCGTGACTCCCCCACCCCTCGTGACTCGACCACGTGATCTCTCGCAAGTACTATCCGAAGATATAACATTTCTGCCGCACGGGTGTCTCGATAAAAACATTCGAGGCACGAACGACTTACGGGGCGAGCAAAAAGCCACGACAATCCACGAGGAATAGTCTGACTTGAAAGAGAAAGAGAGAGAGAGAGAGAGAGGAAAGGCAAGGGAGAAAAAATAGAAGAGAAACAGAAAGAAAGCCGATTTTCCAAACACTCGTATCAGACCAGTTCTATCGCGGCGTGGCACAGGGGAATGAAAAACCAAAAAGAATTTATCTGGCTTGCTCGAACAACAGGGCCGATGCTGCGAGACACTCGAAGACAAGCGCTGATGTTAAAATCTCGTCGAGATAGCGGCGAAACAGACGGGAAGGGGGATGAAATCGCGAGAGAGACGAAAGACATGGAAGAGGAAGGGGCCGGAAGACGTGTTCTCAAGACGGTTCTATTTCGATGGGAAAGTATCTGGAAGATTAGGTTACAAATGACTGTGGTAATTTATGTTGGAGCGCTGAAGTTTAGGATGTCAGATTTCTAAAATTTGGAACATCTGAGTTTAGATGATTGAAACTTGGAATGTTTGGTTCTGGGTTAAGAAGATTTGAGACATTTCACGCTAGATTTAGGCTTTTCACTAGCTTTAGATCGCTCAAATTTAGGAATTTTAATTCCGAAACATTGGTACTTGGGATATTTGACTTTCGATCGCTGAAATTTAGGATATTCCGAAAGTTTAGAATAAAAATTTAGGTTATTTTGGCCCACTGACAAATTTAGGATATTTAACTTTTAAATATCGGTACTTACAATGAATCGTCGATTTCAAAAATTTAAGATATTTGACTGTAGGTTAAATTTAGGTTTATTCGACGCTAGATTTCCAAAATTTAGGTTTCAGACCGAACTTAGAATGTTTAATTCCTAAATATTGATACTCTGGACACTTGACTTTCTAAATTTTGCTCAAATTTACATTTACGCTCTCAGTTTAGACTCCAGTTATAAATCCAACATATAAAAATCCGAAATTCTCACTGTCCCCAGTCGAAATCCTGATTAAATCCAACATTTCGAATTTCAAATTCAAAGTACGCTCGATACAGATACATATTAACTTCGAAGGGGTGGTTCTCGCGGCTTGGGAAAAGTCTCGGCGCGAAATAAATCGATTTCAAAAATTTAAGATATTTGACTGTAGGTTAAATTTAGGTTTATTCGACGCTAGATTTCCAAAATTTAGGTTTCAGACCGAACTTAGAATGTTTAATTCCTAAATATTGATACTCTGGACACTTGACTTTCTAAATTTTGCTCAAATTTACATTTACGCTCTCAGTTTAGACTCCAGTTATAAATCCAACATATAAAAATCCGAAATTCTCACTGTCCCGAGTCGAAATCCTGATTAAATTCAACATTTCGGATTTCGAATTCGAAGTACGCTCGATACAGATACATATTAACTTCGAAGGGGTGGTTCTCGCGGCTTGGAAAAAGTCTTGGCGCGAAATAAATCGCCCTTCTTCAGGCCTTCGCTCGAACCCGCAAAACATGGACTCTGGATGGCGAAATCAATTTTGGCAAATCCGCAAAAACGCGCGTCCCGAAACTTTACGCGTGCAGGCCGCGAGACGCGGAGAGATTTGTCGGCCTCGAGGGTGGCTGCCTGCTCGAGTTCGTTGCCCCTCGATAGAGCGTGTTTTAGTTGAGTTAACAGCCGACGTTTGTCACCCGCGATAAGTTATTGAGGATTTATATTTAGATTGGGAAAAAATCTGTCTGGTCTTGCTTCGTCTCATTTTATCGGCTTGTCGTCTTTTCGTGTCGATTTCGCGCGAGTTCGTGCATTTTGCAAGTCGTTTTTCCATGGCGCGAAGTGAGCTTGTTAGTTTTCTCGATGGTTGTCCTATGGAACAATTTTTCTTCTCATATTTTATTCGTATTGGAGATCTTTCTCAAGATTTTTTTTTTTGTTTGTTTGTTTGTTTGTTTCGAAATCTGTGAGCTTTTCTTCTTTAGCTCGAGATAGATCGGAGAGAATGATTACGAGGAATTTCAAAATACTCGGGAACGTCGGCGTTACCGAAATTTGAAATACGCGTAATGTCGGGAATTTTCATACTTTGCGTTCAAATTGCGGGAAAGTGTGCTCTTTTTATGAAAAATTATTAAGGTTTTATTATACACATTATAAGGGCGGAAATATGTTGAAATTTTATTGCGTACGTCCTTTTTGAAACTTTACTCCGAGGTAATCCACAACCGAGCTCCATTTTTATGCCACACGACCCATTTTCTCCCAAACCACTCGAGCACTTTTAACCAAATTTTCACTGAGCACTCTATTAATAATACTAAATAAATTGAACGCGTGCTTTCTTTCTGGAAATCCTTTCGGCCAAAAAAAAAAAAAAAAAAAAAAAGGAAGATTAAAAAAGAATGGATCTGAAAAATTGTCCGGAGATTGATGAACAATAATCCTTTTTTCCCAGTCTGTCAAATTTTATGAAACCTAAATGTGCAGTTCTTTCTCCACCGTAAAACTTCGAAAGTTATTACAAGAAGAATATATTTTTTAATCGTTACAGATGAAATTTAACGATTAAAATTTTTATACTGCTAGTTTGAATAAAAATTCCAACGTTATCTTATAGCTCGAGTCGCAGACAGTGTATTTTTCAATCATTACAGGGAAATGAAATCTCTTTGTCATACGATTAATTAAATTTATGAATAAATAATTTTTCATATGACAATTTGTCTCACATTTCACGATATATTTATATTCACATCGTTGCGAGCCAAGAAGCAAGGAAATCAAGAAATTGTCAGGCACTGTTCGCGAAATTTCTCAACGGCGATCTTCGAAATCATCAACTATGGCCCGTTGATTGCTCGTGCAAGCACTTCTCGCGGCGTCCATTTTCTCTCCGTTCCACCATCTGAAACCAGGATTCTTCGCAATTAATTTACAGCGTCGTAATCTCCTGGGAAGGTCTTTAAAAACGAGAACAACCGCCAGATGCTTGATCTTCGGGGAGATATCTCTCTCTTTTCGTTGACGTTGCACA